GGGGGATTGAACTTGGGACCTTGTGCTTGCGAGGCAGATGGTGGCTAAATCCCTGGTGGGACCTTTTTTTTTTTGCTATTGGAGATTGAACTCGCGACCTTGCACTTGCAAGGCAGGCGCCAAAACACTGAGCTAAATCCCCGGCCCTGGGAACTTTTAAAATTTATTTATTTTTTTATTTTTTTGGTACCAGGGATTGAACTCAGGTCCTTGCGCTTGCGAGGCAGGCCACTGAACCGCTGAGCTAAATCCCCGGCCCTGAGAACTTTCTTTAACTAGAAATTTTTTATGGAAAATTTCGAGTATGCCTAATCCCCAGTGCTCAGGGGATTTTAAGTATGTACCTCTGTGTTTTTAAATATAAAATGGGGAATAGATACCATTTATCTTGTAGACAAATTATGCCAAGTTTCTATATGTAAGCAGGACAGTGTAATTCTGTTCTAATGTCTAGTAGTGGGATCTAGTTCTGCAGTTTTCTTCCTTTCATCCTTCTCCGTCCCCTCCCCTCCCCTCCCCTCCGTTCCCTTCCTCCCTTCACTCCTTCCCTTCTTGCTTCCCTCCCTTTTTTCCCTCTTTCCTTCTCCCTTTCCCTTTCCCCCCCTTCCTGTCCTCCCTTCTTTTTTTTTTTTTCCTGTGGTATCAAGGATTGAACTCAGGGCCTTTGCACTGAGCTACATCCCTACCCTCCAACCCCTTCCTTTTTAAATTTTGAGACAGGTTACCTCTCAGTTGTTCGTGCTGGGCTTGAATTTGCAGTCCTCTTGCTTTAGCCTCCCAGAATGCTGGGCTCGCAGGCGAGCACTCCCATGGCCCAGCTGCATGTCTCTTGAGGCTGTGTGTGCTACATTAGATGTTCGCTCAGTAATTGGATCACTTTGGTATACAAGCTGTTTTTGGTATTGCAGCTGCGTACTTCTTTCTAATGCCATGTCTTGTGGGATCTAGTTCTTTATACTGAGGTAGAGGTTTGAGGAAAGGGGACTTTGGTCGTTTGGGAATTAGAGCTACTTAGTGAGTTTAATTGTTATCTTTGTGCGTATATGTCTAAATTTGTTGTTCTATCCCTAACCTCTTTTCTGACCTCCAGTTTTGTCTTTCCTTAAGACATTTCTACCCAAGTGTTCAAACTCAAACCTTATGTCTGAAAGAGAACTGTTCTAGTTCCTTACAAATTTGTCTGCCTGATTATTTTGTTATGGTACTTCTGTTCTCTCATTCCTAGACATCTTTGACTCCTTTCTGTGAGCTTCATCCATCACACCATGTCCCTTTGATTTTTGCTTTACAAGAGTCTCACTTAAATCTCCTTACTTTTCTTTTTTCTTAAATGAATCCCACTTTTAGAATGTGTCTCCTTTGGCTGGGGATTTAGCTCAGTGTTGTTGCCACCCGCCTCGAAAGTGCAAGGTCTTGAGTTTGATCCAGGGTACCCCCAAAAAAGAGTATCTCCTTTGTAGAATGGTGAGATAGGTTCAGAAGCGTCCTGGACTTGCCCTGTGAGTGCCATAGAGCTGCCTGCTCAGTTTTCACAAGAGTCTGCATCCCTGCCCTGGCTTGCCTGCTAATTCTGTAGGTGGCTCTGTACCTCTTTATTCTCACAGAGCATAGCTGTACCCAGGCACTTGGCAGGGAAAGACCTGTGAAGACCTGTGACATCTGTGCTTTCAGAAGTTGACTGAAACACACTTATGTATTGAGTATTGAAGATTTTCTGAAATATATGCAAGTCACCCATTCCCCTAACCCTACAGTGGGTTGAGCCACACACTGAGATGTACTATAATTGGTGTTTCTTGGATTCTCTTAGTTATTTTTGCTGAATCATACTTGGGTCCTCTAGAAGATGTCATTGTATATTGTAAGCATATGTTGCAACTGTTTATTATCACTACGAATAGTCATCTCTTTTAGGGACAGTTTTTCCCGAAGGACTATTTGTTTTTTACTTAAAGTCTTGTTTGAGTATTTCCCTCTCTGTGTGGGTGCTAAAATATGTAAAGCCAAATTTGTAGTTTACCTGAGCAAGGAAATAGGAATGGGCAACATACATTTTGGAAATGAATCTTTGTACTGTTTTCAGCTTACTTTTCTTTCCTATTTCTTATTATTTTACTCTTCTAATATTTAATTTTTTAATTGGATTTCATTCTATGAATCTTGGTAGGCAGTGTTGCATTCCTTACAGAATAAAACAATACAGAGAATTGCTAGCTTTCATTAATTCAAATTGTCAGTGCCCCTGTACGGTGATTCTTGTGCTTTCTTCCCACCATTACCACTCCCTACTGCTTTCTTTTGCCTGCCTGCCTATTTGTGGTGCTGGGGGTTGAAAGTAGGACCTTCACAATGAACTACCTTCCCAGCTCTTCAGAAAAATTTTTTATTGCTGGGGGTCACCCTGAGTGGAGAATCACTGTGAGATTGAGGCCAGCCTGGGCTGCATAGTGAGTTCAAGGCCAGCCTGAGCTACATAGCCAGATCCTCAAATCCTATCTCAAAACAGCACCCCTCCCTTTAATCATTGAGACAGGGTCTTGCTAAGTTACCCAGGGTAGGCTTAAATTTATGATCCTTCTCCTGCCTCAGCCTCCCAGAGTGCTAGGGTTACAAGCATGCTCCATCATGCCTGGATTATTTATATTTAAAAATTTTTTTTTTTTGGTACCGGGGATTGAACTCGGGTCCTTGCGCTTGCAAGGCAGGCCGCCGAACCGCTGAGCTAAATCCCCGGCCCTATATTTTAATTTTAATTGACACATAATCACACATGTTTATTATAGTTTGTGATGTTTTGTTACGTGTTTACAGTGTGTAATCATATTTGAATATTTTCAAACACCTATAATTTGTGGTCAAAACAGTTTTTTTAGCTGTTTTAAATAACATACAACATAATACACAGTGCGTTATTGCTAACCATATTTGCTGTAGTGTGCAGTAGGGCAGTAGAACATATGCCTACTCTCTGTAACTTTGTCTGACTGTCTAACGTCTCACCGGCTCACTACCTCCCCCACAGGCCTCTGGTAACTAGTATTCTTCTGTGAGATTAACTGTTTTATTTATTTATTTTTTGAGACAGGGTCTTGCTGTGTAGTTCGGGCTGGTCTTGAACTCACAGTAATCCTCCTTCTTCAGCCTCCTAAGTGCTGGGACTGCAGACATGTGCCACCACATCTAGCTTGAGTCCACAAATTAGAACATGCTTCCTTTATTTTTCACTATAGTGCTTAGCTTATTTCTTTTACATAATATCCTCCAGGCTCAACCATGTTGCCACAGAAATTTTTTCAATGGCTAAATTGTATTTTACTGAACTCTTCCTGTTCTTGCCCCTCTTCTCTTCTCTGTTTTTGGGCGATGCTGGGGATTGGACCCAGGGCCTTTATTACTAAGCTACATCCCCAGCCTGCTCCTCCCTGTCTCCCTTCCTTCCTTTCATTTTTTTGCTTTAGTCGTGGTCTGGCTGAATTACCAAAGCTGTACTTAAACTTGCTGTCCTCCTGCCGCAGCTTCCTAAGGTGCCAGGAATACAGGTGTGCAACACTATTTTAGGCAACCACTGGATTTCTTGAAACTGGTTTAGTGTTTTGCATCCGTTCTCGAAAATTCCACCTATTCCCTCAAAAGATTGTTTGCTCTGTACCATTTTTCCTCTTCTGGATCTCTGGTCAAATGTGTTTAGACTTTCTCATGTATTTATTTATTTATTATTATTATTTTGACATTGGGGATTGAACTCGAGACCTTGTGCTTGCAAGGCAGGCAACAGAACCACTGAGCTAAATCCCTGGCCCTCCCGTGTAGTTATTTATTGTACTGTGCTGTCCTTTTGTCTCTGTGCTTCCTTATGAGCACTTTCATTTCTGACGTACCTACCAGGTCATTGATTGTCTTTTTTTCTCCAGTACTGGGGATCGAGCTCAGGACCTTGTGCTTGTGAAGCAGCTGTAGTGCCACTGAGCTAAATCCCCAGCCTGGTCTCTGATTGTCTTTATCAGTAGCCAATCTGCTATTCAGCACCCCTTCATTTTAAATCTTTTCATTTTGCATTTTTAATTTCCAGAATGTCTGTTTAGTTATTTGTTTGTTTGCTTTTGGTACCGTGTTCGAACTCAGGACCTTGGGCTTGCAAGGCAGGTGGTGGCACCACTGAGCTAAATCCCCGGCCCTTCTATTCAGTTATTTATTTATTTACTTTTTGGTACCAGGGATCGAACTTGGGTCCTTGCGCTTGCAAGACAGGCGGCAGAACCGCTGAGCTAAATCCCCGGCCCTCTATTCAGTTATTTTTTAAAAATCTATTT